TCTACTAAGAAAATTTCTTTAGTTTTCACTTATGATTTGATTAGGTCAGTAAGCTCCATTCTCTCATGAACTCACATTGAGATTTAGATTTATTCAAAATAATATATATATATATATACAAAGCCTTGGAAAAAATATTTTAACGGGGCTGAAGAGATGGCTCAGCAGTTAAGAGCACTCACTGCTCTTAGAGAAGTTTGAGTCCCAGCATCCGCATGGCAGCTAACAACTGTCCGTAACTCCAGTTCCAGGGAATCTAACACCCTCTTCTGACCCCCAAGGAAACTGCACTTACATGCATGCAGGCAATACACTCATACACATAAAATAAAAAAATAATACTTTTTAAAAAAGGAAAACTGCTGAGCGTGGTGGCGCACGCCTTTAATCCCAGCACTTGGGAGGCAGAGGCAAGTGGATCTTTGTGAGTTTGAGGCCAGCCTGGTCTACATAGTGAGTTCCAGGACAGCTGGGGCTACAGGGAGATCTAAAAAAAAAAAAAAAAAAAAAAAAAAAAAAAAAGGAAAACTATTTTAAGCTTATTGGCTGGTGCACAAGCGTTCTGCATCTTCAACTTTTATCTTGAATGTACATTCTGATGTGCATACAGCTTTTCATTCCTGCCTTCTATATATTCATGGACCCTCATATAAAGAGTCTGTACAAGCAACTGGGCCTCATCAAAACAAGAGCTGACAGCTTTCTATATAACTATGCCAGTCAGGTACCCAAGCAGTTGGATCAGTTTTGTAGAACTTCTTCCTGGGCTTCTATAGTACTAGCACTCTACTGAGGAAGATCCCTGGTAACTTGAAGTCTGAGTTACATGACTGTTTTTTAAGTCAAATGTCTGGAACAAGGAATATAGTTCTATTTAGGAACTGGCTTTATATTTCTTCAAAAAAATTCTTTCATTGCATTTATTTATTATTTATTATTTGAGGGAGGACAAATGCATGAAAATTTGTGTGATAAGGTCAGAGGACAACCTGAATGAATTGGTTCTCTCATTATGTGGATCCTGGGGATCAAACTCAGGTCATCAGGCTTGACAGCAAGTACATTTATCTGTTGTCTTTTTTGGGGACAGGATATACCAGTAGTCCCAGCTGGCCTCATATGTAGACCAGGCTGGCCTAGATCTCACAGAGATCTGACTGGGATTAAAGGCGTGTACCACCACACCTGACTCTTTGCCACTTTTAAATAAATCTGTGACCCTTCTTCACCTTCTAGGCTCAATTCCTCTCTGGTCTCATCCCACCACTATCTGCACACACATACTATATGACACACCAAACTTACCTTAATATGAGATGCTTCTTTGCATCACTAATATCGTCTAGAGCTTGGGATACAAGTACCCTGCTGAATGTCACTGTCCCATCCTTATTCTTTTAAAGGGCAAGATGAGTGGCGGTGGTGGATATCACTGTGCTGAGCCTTGTGCATGTTAGGCCAGTGCTATGCCCCCAAACTGCGTCCTCAACTCTTAACTCCTACTTCCACTTTAGGTTGGGGGTGGTTCTCTCGTAGTGTCTTACATTCCTAGTAAGATATATATGTTAATATTAAAAATGACTGGTTATAATTTCTCCAATTAAGCCAGGCGTGGTGGCAGCCCAGCACTCGGGAGCAGAGGCAGGTGGATCTCTGTGAGTTCAAGGCCAGCCTGGTCTACAAAGGGAGTTCCAGGGCAGCTGGGGATACAGGGAGGGCCTGTCTCAAAAAGACCAAAAAAAAAAAAAAAATTTTTTTTTTCTCCAGTTAATATGTCACTATCTTGGAAAAAGGATGATGCTAACCCAGAGGATTACCTTCATCCTTTGAATTATCAGACTAAATTAGGCTTAGTCATTGGTATCAATACAGGATAATCTCAATTAGGTTGTTATCCACCAACTAATAGTAAGCTTCTCAATCATTTTAATGTTTCTCATTCCCCAAAAGAAAAATAAAATTCTAAATATAACACACAAAACAACTTCAATAAAAATCATTACAGGTAATCACCTTTATCAAGTGGAGAGCTGCAGAATGTTGTACACTGTTTCTAAGATGGTTGGGGTTAAATACAATGAACTTTTGGGGGTAGGGCATCTTTTTTCTGTATGCTTGGTTAAAATTTTTTTTAAAGACAAAATATAAACAAAAGGAAAAGGAAGACGGCCTCTTAAGTCTTTGACAGACTAAAAAAGAATGGATTTTAGTTTCTGTGAAGTTGAAACAATTTTTAAAGTGCCAAAGCTTGAATGGGAGGTAGGGATAGAGTGATACCTACATTTTTTTTTTTTTTTTTTAAAAAACCTCTGTTTCCTTTCCATTATCCTGGTTCCTGTAGTTATGTCTGGTTACATACTCATTTATCAGGGTCTGGTTCTAGGATCCACATATGAGGGAGAACATATGTCGATTTTTTTTTTTTTCTGAGTCTGTGTTAGTTCACTTAGTTTAACAGTTTCTAGCTCCATCCATTTATCTGCAAATTTCATGACTTCATCTTTCTTTACTGCTGAGTAGAACTCCATCGTATAAATGAACCACATTTTCATTATCCACTTGTCAATTGAGGGACACTTAGGTTGCTTCCATCTCTTAGCTATTGGGAAAAGAGCAGCAACAAACATGGATGTACAAGTGTCTCTGCAGTAGGATGAGTTCTTTGGGTATACACCAAGGAGTGGTATAACTGGGTCAAATGGTAGGTTCATTTGTAGTTTTTTAAGAGTTCTCCACACTGCTTTCCATAGGGGTTGAACAAGTTTGCAGCCCCACCAGCAGTGGATGAGTGTTCCCCTTTCCCCACATCCTCTCCAACATTTGGATACCTACATTTTTAATGGTTCTCTAACAGTGGCATCCCCATATAATGAAAACCACAAAGGATTCCTACTAAGAAGTGCATGATGATCAACACCAAAAAACTTGTAGTAAATGGGAGTTACTAAAAATAGTTACTTCAGAGGATCTTTGTAATGATAAAACAACACAAGTAAAATGAACTTTGTGAACAGTTATTATGATTTTCATATGTATGTTATGTTGGTATATATTTCATCTGAAGTATGATTTTTTTCTAGCTGAGTGATTTTTTTCCAGATAATTAACTGAAAAGTGAAGTTAAATTTAGTTATTCTTTCTTGGAAACTATTTTTTCCTAGTGAATACAACTGAGGAGAAAATTCCTTGTAAAAATTTACATAGCATTTGCTATATGAACAGACAACTCCATTCAGTGCAAAAAAGCTTATTGTCTGTCTTATAATTCAGAATGATACATGTCCATTTTTGTAGGATACACTAGAAATTATAGAATAAGGAAATACACAGTTTACAGACAGATTATTTGTGTTTTCCTGTTTTACAGTCACATTTATAGAACTACAGATTTGTGATATTTATTTTGAATAAGGCTATAATTATAACATTCTAAATCACTGTGCAATTGTGTAATTTTTCTGTGTAAATAAGATAACCTTGAATCAAAAACTGAGGGTAAATTTTTTGTTTTGTTATAAGCTAATATAGTCATCTTAAAACAGATGAATATAAGGTAAGGAACGCAAAGCAGATTCCCTCCAAGACATTTGGGCACCTTCTAATCTTGGTATATGATAAACAAATTGGTCAAACACTACGTTTATTGGATAGGAGGAAGAGATTCAAGTAGAGGTTCCATTCCATGTTGGCACCACACTATTTTTACAGAACTACACTGGCTTCCTAGATCACCTATCAGAAAGCTTGGGAACAGAGGGAGGTAAAAGAGAATGGAACCAAATACAACATCATTCTCTTCTACAATGTAGCAATGAACAACAACAAACTATCAAAGAAAACATACCTGTAAATTTTACTTTCCTACTAAATCCAGTGGCATGTACCTTTATTATTATTACTTTTTTTTAAAAGCCAGATCTCTTTCTATTGCCCAGGCTGCCCTCAGGTGATCTTTCTGCTTCAACCTCCTGAACAGTTATAAACACATACCACCATGCCTGTTTGAAACTATAGCTTTTTAGTATTTCTATCAAGCAGCCCTTCTTTTAATCTCTTCCAATGTGTGATCCTTGCTACAGAGAGCACATTAAGCTAGGACAAGAAAATCTAAAAAGCTGATTTTTTTACCTCAAGCTATTTTTTGGCAATCAACTCAATGGCATTATGAAGCATGTATCATTTAAAATGCAAGTTCTTACAAAACAACAGAGTACAACAACAACATAAATGCCTTAGAAATCAGAACCAGGTCATCTTTAAGGAAAACTGACTTTGCCAAGAAAAATTTCTAGATTATACAGCTTTTGCAGCTTCATTTTTTTTTTTTTTGTAACTCCATTTGTTAAGGTTAAAAACTTAGACCATACATGATCTTAAAACTTAAGTGGTTCCATTAACAATTATCTTCATTGTAACTCCAATAAATAAAGACTGAGTCTTCTGACTTCTAAGGAAGGTTATGGCAGGAATGTATAATACCTATCTGAATGACAAGAGTAATATACAAAGGAAACATTCTGGTCACTAAGATTCAATCTGTACAATTTTGTATAAGCCTCAAAAAGATCTATTTACAAGGTTATAATAACCCAAATACACACCAATAAAAAGCCACGAAAAATACAGCACCTTTATACAATGGTGGATTAGAAACAGTAAGAACAATGCTGTTGTATGTATGTATTTACTGACATTCAGTGGTGTCTCTGACATCAATACTGAAGGAAACTAACATTTTCATACAACAAATGCACTGTGACACATTTTTAAAAACCTCATTATCTACAGCTAAAAAAATCACATGGCAATATCTGATAAGTCACTGTGATAAAGGTGTATAGGTACAGGTGTATAGATACAGGTGGATATATTTTCTTTAGACCTTAATATACTGCTTGTGTATATGTTTGTTCAAATAGTAGTATATCCAAAACATCAACAGAGCTATTTTAAAAATACTGTTGAAAGGCAAGAACAAGGGAAACAAGGATGGTACTTACCTTAAACGGTTGGTGTAGGTATCAACACAGGTCTTCATTTTGGCCAATAATGTACCAACAGAAGTCTGACATTCAGACTGTTCTTCTTCTTCACCAGTCTCTGCAGAAAGAGGCAATAACAGCGGCACCATAGATGCACAAGAAGCAATGGCCCGGAGCAATTCCAGCAGAGCCCGATAGAGGGGCACATGTCTTGCCATATCCAGAACTACAAGGAAGAAAGGGAAAAGCACAAAGTAAGAACACAGACCATATAAACATCCACAGAACCCCGCCTTCTACCAGACAACCAACACTAAGAAAACATGACAACTAAAAGCAGTGGGGTGTCCCAGATTGGATCCTGAGACAGAAATCAGACATGAAGAGAAAAATGATGAGCTACAGGTTAGCCAATTGCTGTACTAATGTTAGCTTACTCATTGTGATCAATTTGTAGTAATCAGACGGCAGCATTGCTAGGAAGATAGTTGATGAGTATGACTGAATTGTCTACAAGACAGCTTTTCTAGAAATCTACGTTATTGCAAAGTAGGAAATCCAGTTATGCTAGAATCTAGGTTTTAATCACAATCTAATTCTCAAACTGTCCTGCTGTACTTCCTTGTCTGTTATGTGCATGTGTGGCAGGGTTAGGCTCAGGTTTTCTAAAGGCTCAACACAGGGCTAGGATGGTTGTACGCTATTGCTATCCCAGAGGGAGGGAGGCTAAGACAGAAGGATCAAGAGTTTGGGACTGCCTGCCCTAACAAGACCCTACCTAGAAAAAAGAAAACAATAGTTTTAACAAAAGACCAACCTCAAACAAGATTTGGTAAATTCCCACTACAACTTGAGATTACCCAATATTGTGGCTCCCAAGGGATTCTCGTACCAGTTTCTTGGCTACAGACACAAGTTCCTACCTCTCAGGAAAACCCTAACTTCCTTTTCTACTCTGAAAAGATACCTTCATGTTTTGAAACCAACACTAAAAGCGTAAACATTCTATAACACTTTATTTTTTATTTATTTACTTTTATTTTTAGCATGCCCCACTACATGAATAGCAAATAATATGCCATAAGACAGCATATCATCTGCTGGGGAAAAAAAAACAAAACAATGTTTTTCAAAATGAGACTCAAACTCTGCCTGTAAACTTGCAGCATTTAAGCCTCACCATCTAGGGGTGAGTAGGGTAACTGCAGGCTTACTACAGCTATGACTGTGATGATACTGCCCAACAGATGCAGATTTAGAATTGCACAGTCAAGAGAAGATCAGTCAAATACTGAGAGATTAAAATGAACACATTCTATACACAAAGATCTTATTTCTAACAAAAACAACTGCTTTTTCTCTCTCTCTTTTTGGTCTTTATGAGACAGGGTCTCCCTGTAGCCCCAGCTGTCCTGGAACTATGTAGACCAGGCTGGCCTTGAACTCACAGAGATCCACCTGCCTCTGCCTCCCAAGTGCTGGGATTAAAGGCGTGCGCCACCATGCCTGGCTGCTTTTTCTCTTTATTGGATTTTTATCACCTCAATAGCATGTACTTGTAATTATTAAGTACAGTTTTGCAAATCATTGAATGCATATAAGGTATAATAATAAAAAACTGAGACAATTAGTATTTCTTTCTTTTTTTAACATTTGTTTATTTATTTGGGGAGGGGCACACACAGGTGGAGGTCAGAGGACAATTTGTAAGAATCAGTTTTCTCCTTCCACCATGGTGGGTTCAGGGACTGAATTTAGGTCCTGTCTTCAGCTAATGGGAGCTATCTCACTGATGCCATAATTAGCATTTTTATCTCCTAAAAATTATCTACAACTGTTGGGATCTTCTCTGGGTACTTTGAAATGCATAATTAACTGACCTAGTGGGTTGACAGAACATTAAAACAATCCCCAGTTCTGCCTTTAATCCCAGCACTCTGGAGGCAGAGGCAGGTGAATCTCTGTGAGGCAGGCCTGGCCTACATAGCGATATCCAGGCTTCCTGGCCTGCTGGGCTACAGGGAGACCCAGTCTCAAAAAGAACAAAAAACACTTATCTCTCACTCCCATGTATTTTGATACTTTTCCTTTGATCTTTTGTATTATTCCACCTCTTTCTATCCTCTGGGGAACTCTGTTCTTTCCACTTCTATGTGCTCAACTTTTAAAACTTCTACAAATGAGTGAGAACACAGACTATTTGTTTTCACGTGCCTGGCTTATTTAACTTAAAATAACTGTTCTTCATATTCCCTCATACTGCTGCAAATGACAGGATTTCGTCCTTTTTTACGCTGAATAATATTCCACTGTGCATATGCCATTAAAAAAAATTTATCCACCTGTCAACAAACACCTTCTGCACGCATGTACCTTTCTAATTTTACTATTTCCTTTGGACATACACCAGTAGAGAGATTGCTGGATCATACAGTACTTTTATTTTTTTTAAAGAAACCTACATAATGACTATAAAAATTAAGACTGTGTCATTAAGAAGCCTACAAAATCAAAGGCAAGCAATGAAAAGTCAGACTTTTTTTTCTTTTTACAAACTATTCAAAATATCCAGAATATTTAAGAAACACAATAGCAACAAAAATTCAAGTAACCCAATTTAAAAACAAATGACCAGAAAAAGCATTTACCAAAAGAAGAAATACAAGGGCTAATAAGTGTGTTTCAAATGCAGTATTACTAATCATCAAGGAAAACAGAACAAAACCAGAATAAGGACTCATCTTACCCTGGTTAGAACAATTAAATATGGCAACACATCTGTTGCTGTGATGGCCCTAAACCAAATACTTAGAAACAAGTTCCTAGGGCTGGAGAGATAGCTCAAGAACACTGACTGTTCTTGCAAAGACCCGGGTTCGAATCCCAGCATCCACATGGCAGCTAACAACTGTCAGTAACTCCAGTTCCAGGGAATCCGACAGCCTCTTCTGTCCTCTGGGGCATTGCATGACACGGGTCATCTTACCTACATGCAGGCAATACACGCATACACATAAAATAAAAATAATAAAGAAAATATTAAAGAAAAAAGAAACAAGTTTCCATGTACAAATTTACATCAATGGATATAAATTTTCCTATATACCCACTTCAGGTCTACAAAAAAGGTCAATTTATTAAATGGCTCTAGTAGGAAACTGAATTCATCAGATAGCCCTGCTAGAAACAATAAATTCACAAAAGATGGAACTGTTAGGTATTTGAACAAAACTAAATCTGCATAAATCTCCAGACATGTTTCTAATAACATTTACCAATCTGAAAAGTTATTAAAATTTTTTCTGATTGATTTTTTTTTTTTTTTTGCCTGTATATTAAGTGCATCCGTGACATGCAATGCCCATGGATGCCAGAAAAGGGCACTGGATCCCCTGGATTCAAACTTCAGGACAGTTAGCTGCTATGTAGGTGCTGCATACCGAACCCAGGTTCTCCATAAGAGCAAATATTCTTAACTGCTGAGCTATCTCTTCAGCTCTAATCTTAAATTTACAAATTAAAGTTAAAATTTAAAATTCAATTAAGTTAAATGGCAGCAAAGCCAGTATTAAGCTATAAGTAAAAAGTATTCTTAGATAATTATTCAATGATTACAACACTAAATTTAACAGTGACTATTTCTGGCAAATAAGATCACTGTCTCAGCTATTGTTTTTGTTTTGTTTTGAGACAGGGTCTCCCTCTAGCCCCAGCTGGCTTAGAACTCCCTATGTAGATCAGGCTGGCCCTGATCACAGAGATTTGTCTGCCTAAAGTCATGTGCCACCATGTGTGGCTTCAGCTATTCATCTGATACTGGATTAACATCCAGAATACATAAAGAACTGATAAAATTAAACAACAAAAGATCAAATAATTCAATGAATGAATGGACAAATGAACGGAACTGACATTTTTCAAATAAGAGACACAAATGGCGAATAAATACAAAATTTTCAGCATGATTAACCATCAAGGATGTGCACTATGAACCCTCAGAGAGTGTTTCAACTGAAAAACCCATACAGGTCAGGAAAGTAGTACACACCCACAAGGGAAGAGGGGAGACAAAATGCAGTGATGAAAAAGGGAGAAAGGTGCTGGGTGTGGTGGGACACACCTTTAATCCCAGCAATTGGGAGGTAGAAGCAGGCGGAACTCTGTGAGTCCATGGCCAGTCTGGTCTACATAGGGAGTTAGAGGCCAGGTGGGGCTACAAAGAGACCCTATCTCAAAAAAGGGGGGGTCGGGAGGATAATGGAGCAGGAAGGGTTAAATGGGGTAGGGAATGGAAGAGAGGAAGGAGTATGGGGAGGGATAACTATCCCTGAAGGCCTTTAGAAAAAGTCATATGGAAACTTACCACTATAGAAGCTTCTTAAAGTATATAAACATACAACATAAAAAGAGATTTTAAAAAGTTACCCTATTAACAGGGGGACACTTGCCCCTACTAGACACCATGGACTAGCAAACCTATGCTCTGTAAAAAAAAAAAAGAAAAGAAAAGAAAAGAAAAGAAAAAGCCCAGTGCCAGGAATGTATTTCTTCTTTTGAAGCTGATGACCAGAGTTCCCATAGACACTCAAAACTGGCCATTGCCCCTGCTCAAGACACTACATACACACTTGTTTGTTCTACAACTTATCCAGTATACAAAGTGGGTCAACTTAGAGGAAACATTTCATTTATGCTTCCAAGTGAAGCCAGACATGGTAGAACAGGACCTTTGACTTCACATAGATGGAACTGCTAAAAGAAAGGAGCCAGAAGCCCATGTGACCCCTGAGGAACAGATCCTCAAATGACCGTAAGTATAAAAAGAAATTGATTTATTTGGGTCAACTGTGTGGTCTTAAACACCCAAAAGGAAAGTATAACCAAAGAGTAAGATCATCAGTATATTTCTTTAAGAATTCAAGGGATTACACTTCCCAGACATTAGGCTTAAATCCATATAAAAAGTTATTTAGACAATTATTTCTCATTGATGATTTTATTCCTAACCAGAAAGTGCCGTTCATATGTAAGACCTCAAATATTGGCCTTCTAGTGCCCACCTGTAGCTAAGGGAGACAACCCACTATTGTTCTAAAATGATGGATAAATTTGTTTTCTTCCCCTATCTAGAAGCCTTTGAGAGGGAACTGACACTGCTTCTAGCCACTCCAACAGCTATCAAAGTGCCTGAAAACAAATCCCAAGTCCATCACTCTCGAGTCCAGCCTTGGTAGACAAAAGAAAAATGAGGAGGAAACCAAGAGGGATGCTTTTGGAAGCTCTTGTCAAGAATTTCCAATAGACTCTGATATGAACATTTGAAATTTGCCCTGTTCTGACTTTTTTCTGGTTCCCTGTCTAGAACTTGTAATGCTAATTACTCTTGCCTTTACTTCTCCTTCACATCTCCTATTCACCAACCAAGGACTTTCCTTTCTCCCTACAGAGTTATGCAATTTGGAAGTCTTAGACCCACTGATAAGCCAGTGCAGTTGGCATCCCTATTCCCTATTGGCAATTTCAGTATCCCCTTCAGAGAATGGCATGATAAGAATAGGAGGTAGGAATTGGCTAGGCAGTAAGGGTAAAAAGACCAAAGAAATGTAGCCAGTTTCTTGGCTAAAAGTCAGAATGTCCTTGGGCCTGTTATCAACATACTCTGTTCCAAGGACAAAAATGTCAAAAGTATTTGGGAGCTCTTATCTAATCCTTAAAAGGTTTTAGGGTTACCTCTTCAGAGGGGGTAATGTTAGAGTAGCAAAATACCCCATTAAAAAAAAAAAAAGAAGAACTCTTATACACAACTGGTTACTGAGTAAATCAGTCATGTCATCAAGGTCTTCACTGGCCTCTATGTTCATCCACACATTCCAAGATTTTTTTTTAAATGTGCAATGTATATATACAACGGAGTATTATTCAACCTTAAAGACTAAGCTCATGTTGTTTGCAAGAAAAAGGATAGAACTAAAGATCATAATGTTAAGTACAATCAGCAATATCCAGAAAATAAGTATTATGTTTTCTATCATATGTGGACTCTAGATTAAAAAGTAGAAGGCTGGCAAGATTGTCAACGGGTAAAAGCACTTGTCTCCAAACCTGACAATTGAGTTCAATACCTGGAACCCACAGGGTAGAATGAGAGAAATGATTTGTGCAAATTTTCCTCTACCTCCACGTACGTGTCTTGGCCTGCTGGTGCACGACATACACACACACATTTGTATACACACTTTAAATAAATCTAAATTTTTCCTTTAAAAAAAAGTTAGGAAGTCCAGCATGGTGGCACATGCCTTTAATCCCAGTACTTGGGAGGCAGACAGAGACAGGCAGATATCTGTGAGACTGAGGCAAGCCTGATCTACATAGCCTGATCTACATCTCCAGGTCAGCTGGAGCTACAGGGAGACCCTGTCTCAAAAAGACCAAAAGGAAATTATTTGAGAAGAATATTATTTGAAATAAAAAACTACTTGGGGGAGATGGGGATGAGATGAAGGGAGGTGAACAGCACTGAAGTCCATTATGCATAAGTAGGACACACTAAAGCTCATTATTTTGTATAGTGAATATACACTGATAAATAATGTTTTTGTTGTACATTGACAAAGAATTATCTATGGAAAAACTTACTATCAAGTATTATGGGCTTGAGTTTTTATCAGTCTTTTTACAAAAGTTACTGTCTGTAATTTTATAGTTGTAGGAAAATGATGAAATGCATAGAATTTCACCAAATTCAGACCAGAAAAATGTCTAGAAGATTATGCACAATCTTTCTGTACAATCACTTTCTGTTACATATAATTTCTAAGAAGTAAGTTCATCAAACGTTAATTGAGCAAAAATATTCATCCATAAAGACCTTTCAAAGAAGTAATTGGAGATAACTTACCGGAATCATTTCGTAGATAGGAGGACATGGCTGGGATGAGGCAGGACTGACTGAGAAGTTCTAGAAGGACAGAAGGCAGGGCATTGCTGTGCTGTACTCGGCTCTCCTGAGATGGCTGGGCTTCTCCATTCATAGAACCACTCATGGGGTTTATGTAACTTGCAAGAACCTAAAAATAAGAATTGCTATAATTAAAGCGGATTTTTGGTTTCACATACTTCAATGACTTATATTTTATGTGCTAGACATTTAATCTGACTACTTAAAAGTATCCATTTTGCAGGGGCTGGAGATAGCTCAGGGTTAAAGGCACTTGCTGTTCTTGCAGAGAGCCTGGGTTTAGTTCCCAGCATCCACACAGCAGCTTACAACCACCTGTAAATCCAGTTTCAGGAGATCCAATGCCTTATTCTGGCATTACATATATTCTACTCAATCAGTATCTGACACTGTTATGTTTAAATAGAAGATTTTTTTATGACTTTTTTGAGATAGTCTCCGTATATGGCCCTGAATTTTCAGTGGTCCTCCTGCTTCTGCCTCCTGAGTGCTAGGATTACAAGTGTCAACCAACATACTTGACTTAATGAGGGTACTTTTTACTTAACTTTTCAAAGCAGAAGGATCTACTCTGCATCCGAGTTGCTAGCACAGGATGGGTTATAACTAAACACAGAGAAGTAATCCACCTAAGAATACATACTAAACATTACAAGCAACTCTAACATCATTTATTATTTCCTTTCCCTTTTTTTTTTTTTTTTTTTTTTTTTTTTTTGCGGGGGCGGGGGGAAATCTTGTTTAGTTCAGGCTGGTCTCAAACTTGCTATATAACAGAGGATGACCCTGAGCTTCTGATTCTCCTGCCTCCACCTCCCAAGCATTGGGATTACAGATACATGCCATCATGCTTGATTTATGCAGTACTGAGGACAGAACCCAGGGCATCATGTACATGAGGAAAGCACTCTATCAGCTAAGCACTCTACCACACTCAACCAGCTAGTTGAGAGTACTAGAATCATAGAATTCTATACAAAAATGAGCATATCATCCTAGAATTGTGGAAAATAATACTGAAGGGTGGTATCAAATTCAGTTAGTTCCCTCTCATTTCCATGGTAAGATGACTTTGCCCCTATTTTCAGTTTGCTTGATTCTAGAAACATTACAGAACAATTTGAAAAAAGAAAATGAAAGCAAACCACAGATACAGCTCAATGGCAAAGCATGGACTGAGTGTGCATAAACCCTTTGGTTCAGTCCCCACAAAATGAATGAGTATTAACTGTTAATACAGGAGGACCAGATGCAGCATACTAAATAAAACGATGACTGGAAGGTAGGCCTGGTACACTTTGAAGTTACAGGATTCCATCCCCCTTACTTCCCTCTCATTGGAAAGCTAACTGAGAAGGAAGATATTCAGAACTACAATTACCCTATTAGAATGCATTTGGAAAAGGGAACAAAAGTGAACACAAACTAGGTGAGAATGCTGACACATCTGTAACTGCAGCAAGAAGGTGGAGAAAGGAAAATCAGTTCAAGGCCAGCCTTGAACATGAAACCTTCTCTTCCGTCTCGCGCCCAAAACCCAGGAAAGGACTCCTCTGGAAGCTGTTGACCAGGGGTTCCACAGACCCTCAAACACTACTGGTCATTGCCCCTGCTCTTGGTTAGCCACCAGAACTTGACAATAAGATCCTATTTCTGAAGATACTACATACATGAGCTGTAGAACAAACAAGAAGAAATTAAGTTGTTGCTGACCTCAAAGCCTCATCTCTACTGGCTAGTTTTCATAGTGCTGAAAGGTGTTATGCATGTTAGCAGAAGGAAAAATTATCATTAATCTTATCCAGATGTGAATCTTGCATGCTTCAACAACTTGTCTGGGAAGATATGACCTCTGGTGCAACACTGGCACAAATATGGGCACAATCAACCACTTTCTGATTAGATTTAAGGTCCACTTCATAGGATGAAGCTCATACCGGAAGTTGATAAAGCCTAGGAATCTGTGGCTAGACAGGTCACAAGCCATAGAAGAAAGCCTAATAAATGTATAATAGTAAAGTGACTCCTGCCAGGCGTGGTGGTACACACCTTTAATCCCAGCACTTAGGAGGCAGAGGCAGGGGGCCAGCCTGGTCTACACAGTGAGTTCTAGGACAGCTGGGACTACAGGGAGACCCTTTTTCAAAAAAAAAAAAAAAAAAAAAAAAAAAAAGTGACTCCTAATGACTTATTGTTTTATCTGGAGACTAATGCATCTCTCAACTCTCACCAGTGAAGTTTCCTTATGCAGCAGATAGTGATTAACACAGAAACTCAAAACTGGCGGATGTGCAGAGAATAAGAGACTGTAGAGTACTTATCCCCAAATTCAACACCTATATCTAACGTCTATCTCCAAAGACTCAGGGATCACTGCAGAAGAGGAGGAGGAAAGACTGTAAGAGCCAGAGGAGGTAGATGACCACAAGGAAACAGTTTTCCAGACAGCTAGTCAGTTACTCACAGTAACTCATAGCAATGCTGATACCACACACAAGTACCACATAAACTCAAGTCAGACAAAACTCAGCATAAATGTTGGGAAGTGGGTAAGAAATCTCAAACCTACCTGAGGAATTATTGGAAACCATTAGCTGCTGGGAAGGGGAGATTCAGTCTCATTTAAGGGTGAGACTCACAATACGTTAACCAGGCTCCAGTGGGTGAATATACACCAAAGGAAATTTGGGGACACAAATTTGAGTCTATACACGCCTCTGTGTGTGTGTGTGTGTGTGTGTGTGTGTGTGTGTGTGTGTAAAATATATACTACATGAAACTGGGTTAGGGATATGAAAGGGGTAGTGCAGAGAGGGGAAGGGATCTAAATAGGATCAAAACACATTGTATGAAATTTGCAAAAAATTTAAAAAGGGAAAATTATAGAAAGGAAAAAGATATGAATAATGAATTCATTAAGAATGAATAAAGTCATCAATATTTTAAAAATCAGAACACATACAAAATAATTGATTACTGACAGTATCAATTCATAAACACACCTGCAGAAGACAGGTGACATGCTCCTCTTCCAGCCTCTGTTTGGTTAAGGCTTGTTCTACATCCCACCCAGAAGCTGTAGAGCCTGTTCCAAAGCCAGTCCCCTTGGCCCAATATAGCTGCTGCTCTTCTGTTGATGTAGGGTTATGAGAACTTGACACTTGGGGCTTGAATTAGGAGGAAAAAAAAAAAAAAAAAAAAAGGTTAGTATTTGGTTTATTTATCAGTAAAAATATCACTGAGAATGCAACACAGCTCAATAATATCAAAAGCAGTTTGACCAATCACCAAATTGCTGCAATGCACCAATGAAATGAAACAGGGTACTAAAACATATCATGTTCATAGAAGCATTGTTCACCACAAACCAAGGAAGGAACAATCCAAATGCCTACAATGAACACATGAAGAAACTCAAAGGAATATGACTGATTTTTTCACAAAGATAGGATACTAGTGCATGCTACATGGATAAGCCTTGAAAAATATTACATGCAGCCAGGCTTGGTGGCACACACCTTCACACCTTTAATTCCAGCAACTGAGAGGCAGAGGCAGGTGGATTGCTGTGAGAGAGAGGCCAGGCTGGTCTCTCTGGTGATTCCAAGCCAGTTGTG